TTCGGGGGGGGAGGAGAGAAATTTCTTGAGGAAAATTTTCCGTCGTATCATACCGAAATTTATGTTTGTGACCTAATTTTTAAAAAAAATTTGTAAATTTCCACACAAAAACGGCACCTATTGTTTTAATTTAGTATTTACAGGCGACATTAGCTTGTACAAAAGGGGCACTTATTGTTTTAATTTAGTATTTACAGCGACATTAACTTCTACAAAAGGGGCACTTTTCCTCACAAAAAAGGGCACTTCTCAACACAAAAAGGGCACTTTTTATCACAAAAAAGGGCACTTTTAGTCCTTTAAAAAAATTGGGGGGGGGGGCACGTGCCCCCCGTGCCCCCCCCCGCTTCCTACGCCCCTGTTACAGGGTGTTCCAAAAAGACCCGGAACCCATTCTAAATTAAATAAGTATTCATTGCCATGATCAACTGATTATAATACAGTATTTTGGTGAATACAAATACAAAAAAATGCTGTAACACACTGATTTTGGACGACAATTTAAGTCTTTCATCATCGCCGTTGCCGGAAAGGAACCGAGTTTTAATGTATTCTAGTCACTAGTGCAACAACAAATTGATGAAAATAGAAAGTGTTTAAAGCCGGTTTTAATACAGACGAGCAAGTTTTCTAGCACAAGTTTTTATTATAAGACAAGTTGCTAGTATGCTAGCTTTTGAACAAGGGTACTTGTCACAGTAAAAATTATCAAAGTTGCGCATACAGACGAGCAAATAAAACTTGCCACATAAAAATACTTGTCATATATAGAAAACTTGCTCGTCTGTAACTGGCTGTATGTTAACCAAAATGTTCTAATTTATGCATAAACAAGTACACGCATAAATTAGAACATTTTGATTATTAACATAAGGGGCGGACCATTAGAAATCCCGGGAGGGGGGGTGAAAATTCAAAAAAAAAAATTCGTGCAAAGGAAAATGCCTGGAAAAAAAATTCGTGCACCCATTACGTCAGAGAAAAAAAATTCGTGCAAGCAAACAGCGAAGTACAAATATAGTCTTGAAAAAAAATTCGTGCAGAGGTTAAATGCATTAAAAAAAATTCCTGCAGAGACACGAGACTGAAAAAAAATTCGTGCGCAAAAATTTGATACCCCCCCTCCCGGGATTTCTAATGGTCCGCCCCTAAAACGTTTCTGTAATTACAGAAAACACTCATGCAGTACGGCAGCTATTTCAATTATTAAGGTTGTCCCCCGAGCAAAGCGGAAAAGTCGAATACGAGCGCGAAAAGCTGCTGGGAATAGCTAATAAATTATTTGCTCGGGGAACAACCTAGCTTAATTGAAGTGCTGTATAATAATAAAATGCAAAAGAACAGTAACATTTGATTAATTGAATCAACGTTTTGACTAAATTGTAGTCATCATCTGGATTCTATTTTTCCGTGACTTCAATTTAATCGAAATAAACGTCGATTAGAGCATGGATAATAATAAAATTTATAGGAATGGATAGGAAACTAGCTGACGTGACCTAATGGGCTAATGGCGTGGTTGGATGTTCCAACCTAGTTGCAAACCAAATTCTCAAAAACGGCATGTTTAGCAATAATACAGCTAAACATTTTAGTCAAAGAGCAAACAAAAATCTAAGATGAAAACTCTAAGTATTCCCAGCACTAAACAGTGAAAAATACATCGCAAATTAGTTTCGTTAAAATTTGGGACTCCAATTTCGTAGCTACAACTAATGTAAAAAATACAAAACAAAGACGAAAAACATTTACCTTGAATTCTTTGTCGTGGTTTAGGCATGTTTTTAAAACAATTAGACCAGTTTATGCTTCAATATTACTCTTTTAAAGTGGAAAGTATAGCGAAACAACAAAAATGCTGAGAACTTTGGCAATATTCGCAATACGCGTGACGTCACGTTTTTCAACAAGGATGAGTGAATGACGTCAGGAAGTTTCCTATCCAGTTATTTTACAATCCATTATTTAGAGTTATTGTTCTTAAAATTTGTATTTTATTAACACGTTTCTATTTTCATGAATTTGTTCCTTGCACTACGATACAATGAACCTCAATTGAGTCAATTCTTCTTCAAACGGCGATGTTGAACGATTTGGTGACGAAAATCAGTGCATTTATCACAGCTGCTATTTAAAGCGTGTTTTAAAATGGGTGATTCCAACAATAGAATAAAGTTTGATCAAGGCAAAGAAAACGGTTACTAAATGTTGTAAAATGAAGAAAATATAGCTTTATGAAATTCACAAATTTTGTACATATTTGTGTCACGCGCGGTAAAAATAACGACTTTCGACTCAAAAATGCTTATTTTCACGCGCGTAATGCAAATAATACAAAATTTGAGAACTTCACAGAGCTATATTTTCCGCAGTTTACAAAAATTCGCAACCAAGCTTTGCAATGTTACTCATTTTAAGATGCTCTTTTTAGCCGTGGTATTGGAGTTCGTATTTTTTGTCTAGATCAAAATGTCGTCTATAGCTGGCATCCTCCATTATAAAATAACATGTATATAACGCGTGCTCTGATTGGTCGAAACACGTGTTTGGATCAGGCTGACGGAATTTTAAAGTGAAAGTTTTTTAAAGTGAAATTTTAACACGGAAAGTTGTTATTTTATAAAACAATTACTTTATGGTTTCGGTGTTGGGAATGTTGCTCGAGTTAAGAAAAGCGTGCAAAATCACTCGCCTTCGGCTCGTGTTTCGCGCGCTTTTCGTAACTCTCGCAACATTCCCGCGTGTTTGGATCAGGCCATCCAAACACGGAAACCATAAAGTAATTGTATATTGAAGCCCCGAGGTATCAAGTTTCAAAGGTGTCATCGGATATCTGACATGTGTCCGGATCCTCTAACATCTCTGTTACTGTGTTAGTTTTGTAGGAAGAGGAATATTTCTCCTTAAATATAATATTCCTACTTAAAAAGTTCCTAAAAAACCTATCGACGGGGTGTGAGGTGTAAGAAAGATTATTTCTACTCTTAATAGTGACCAGTAATAGTCATATTCCTACCAAAAATATTCCCAAAATGCATATTCCTACCAACAATATTTATCTTCACACTACTTCAAAACCCAGTATTTAACAATATTCAATATTCATATTCCACCACGATTGTAGATTTGAAACTTTATGTTTCGTTTTAGGAGAAATACGTATCTTTGTAGCAATCCAGTATTTTTGACTTTTGGTATAGCTTGTTTATCATGAGTCATTGTCAAAAACAAAACCGAAGTGTGAAGACCAGACCTTCTTCTGATACCAAGGTATACTGCAGAGGAATAAAATGGCTTGATAAAAATCAGAGAAAACTCTGTTATCACTTTCCTGAAATGATTGAAATTATTGGAGAGGGGGTGAAACATGCGCTGAAAGAGTGCAGAAAACAATTTAGTTCGCACCGTTGGAACTGCTCTCCCCTGGATTGGGAGCAAGTGTTTAGTGAAGGTGGCATTCTAAGAAAGCGTAAGTGTGCTTAGACTTTATCCCCGAGCCGACGGCGCGAAGCGCCGTGCGAGGGTACTAATTCCCCCCGGCTATTTACACCCGGGGAAGGGAAGCGGGCGTGGGTCACTGTGTAATATCGCGGGCGTGGGTCACTGTGCGTGTTTCGGTGGGTGGTCATCCTCACTGATCTCATAATATAGCGGACTGTAATGAATAGCCAACACTGATTGGTCCAATTTAAAATTGGCATTATTAACGGCTGCATGACGATTGACGACAGCGAAATTGATTTGATGATTTCTTGCAAATATATTTCATTTTTGCAAGATTTTGTAAATTGCAAAGGATTTTTGATGAAATAAAGGCAAGAGGATTGCTAAAAGAAGGAAGTAAAGGTGCTGGCGTTAACGAAGGTAAGTTTGTTTTAAATATTGATGCATTGTTTGCTTTTAATATACTGTAATCTCGGCTGTAATTACTTTAAAAGCCGATCGTTGCGTATATAAAATATGAAACAAGACAGCGTATTATTTCAGTGTTTCTTTATTGATTACACTTTTTATTATACTAAGCAAAGTTATTTACATGGGAGAATTTGGAATCATTTTATTTCGAACTCAAAGTTTATCGATAAAGGCAGTTTAGTTCTATATTAAAAGAACACTTTCAAACGTTTTGCGAAGTGTTTGTGGTTGAATTTTACCTTAAATTGAAGCTTATATTACGTATAATAACATAGCTACTGTAATTACTTTAAAAGCCGATCGTTGTGTATAAATATGAAACAAGACAGCGTATTATTTCAGTGTTTCTTTATTGATTAAGCAAAGTTATTTGCATGGGAGAATTTGGAATCATTTTATTTCGAACTCAAAGTTTATCGATAAAGGCAGTTTAGTTCTACAGTAAAAGAACATTTTAAAACGTTTTGCGAAGCGTTTGTGGTTGAATTTTACCTTAAATTCAAGCTTATATTACGTATAATAACATACCTAACATATATATGTTTAGGAAATTGATAATTTTGTAATTAAAAGTGATATTTATAGGGGATTTTTCATTTGTAAAAATATTCTTAAAAAATTGTCGTGTTACCATGACAACTACTTAAAATACTTCACGTTCGGAAAATAAAATGGTTTTGTCAGCAAGGCGAGGGTTTCTGCATGCATGTATTTTCTAGTACGACTATATACGCATTAGCGATACATGACGGCAGCGCTACCACGGCGGAAAACAAACTCGTTGAACTAAATGATTGTACGGGAAGCTTGTCGCCTGTTATTCAGAGTATAAAACATCGTCAATAGAGTAAGACTGTTAGGAAACTCGCAGACATAATAGACTATCAATATCATTATTCTTTCGCTTCAGTTTGTCTGTGTTTATGCAAACAGTAGTTGTTTCATCGTCGTGTGTGTGTTGTTTAATTACTCAGTCGTGATATTACACGTTAGCGAGGGTCAGATTTGACTTTCACTACTGTACCTCTCGCTGGCTTAGTGCGCATCTCATTGGTTAATTTAATCGGATATATCAAACGCATCTGATTGGTTAATTGGCCTCTTAATGATAGCGGTAGCGGAAGTGAAATCTGAACCTCTCTAATGATTACATTAAAACATAATATAGTTATTATTTGCTTTAGCGAAAATAAAAAAACGTACGTGACAATGAATTGACCATTTCATGAATAAACCAAGACAAAAACATAGATACGGTAATGAGGTCTATAATTATGTATTATGTCTACATCGAGTTCCTTAACCTTCTTATTCTATTGACTCTGAATAAAATTAATTCATGCAGTTTAATTTAAGGATTGAAGTTAATTAGTCAAGGGTTTGTTGTGGAAAATGTGGTGTTCTGGGATTCAATTTGACATAACAGTTTCCCATGCAGCTCGAAATGTATAGCCGTTTTATGTACAAAACGTGATAATCTGTGATTTGCCGTTGTAAATAGAACGAGGACGACATTGCTTTCATGTGATCTTGATTTTAGTTAATCATTTCTTTTCTACAATATTACTAATGTCATTATACTAGTTCCCGTTGTCTATGTATTTGCGTCCTTCTTGTTTAAGGTTCCTAATATCGATAATTCATAGTTTTGAAGTGTAAAATTTAAGACTGTTTCTCTTCATCTCCGCGTACTAGACCAAGCCTTGCTTAAGTTCGCTATATTTATGTTTGAAACTTATGCCAGTGAGAGTGTTTGCTGTTACCATGGCTACTACTGGTAGGAAGCCAGCGTTCAGTCCGTGGTTTACTAAATAAAATCATTTTTTGTTAAAATATAATGGTTTGGTCCGCTATCATATTTTTATGATAAGTATAGTTGTTTTGTTCGAAAGAGAGAGGGGTTCGTTTCTGCATGCTTGTTAGCTTGTACTTTCTGTGATAAACTGCATGTATCAAGGCATCATATCATATGAGATAATTCGTCAATAACATTTGGTAAAAGCTGAAGTAGGTCAATAAACCTGCAAACACGATTAAATTTTTGGTTCTGTGTGTGCCGGCTAGCATAGGACCGACAATCACAGAAGTGTAAACCTACATTTATTTCCTACCATTGATTTGTTCAATCACGTAACTGCAGAAAGTTTAACCTCGCACTGGAGATAAGCGTATAATTAAGTATGTACTATTTAAAACACGAGTTGGAGTGTTTTATCAGGCTGCCCCACGCGTTTTATATCTGATACAACACGACAACGAGTGTTTTGAATATAGCTTGAAATACTAATTAGGATGAACAGTTATAATTATAATCATCCTAATTAGGATGAACATTTATATAAAGAATACTAATGAAGATGAGTTTTATCAGATATAAAGTCACTTTACGTGACATATTATGGCTGACATGATTTGCCACAAGTTTTATAATTATTAATGAGTATTTTAAGTTTTTAACTAAAATATACTGTATAATAGCTATATAACACTGAATTTTACGCATAGGTTCTCGTGAGACAGCATTCGTACAAGCTCTAACTGCAGCCAGTGTGATGATGGAGATTGCAAAGGCTTGCGTGACCCAGAAAATAAAATACTGTGGCTGTGGTGCTTTGCGTCGACGAAACAGGAACGAACTCTCAATCCTAGATGGTTGTGGAGACAACATAAACTTTGGCGCTTACTTGGCTGCAAATTTTATGGATCCAAAGCGGACAAAGACTCATCCGAAGAAAACAAAACGCCATAACCAAATAGTTGGAAGAAAGGTAACAAAAGCATTAACAGGCAATTTTCCCATGCTACGTAGCCTAATTAGACTTTCTCACGCCGCCATTTTTAAGTGGCTTTTCAGCCGAATTCTGCGAGATAAGTCTTTTAAGTCATTCAGATATGATATGTCAGCGACGTTTTATAATTTTTTGGACGAATGATGGTAAATTTGCAAATGGTTAGTTTATTTTGAAAAATTGCTTTTCATATTGTTTTAATTGTCTGCATTGGTTATAATTAACGAGAATTAGATGCCACCCAAAAATGGCGAATATTCGCCATCGTGAGAAAGGCTAATATCGATAAAAACGTCCAAAATGTAATAAAATCATAATATTAGTCTTTGAAAAAATTGAAGTCAAAGTACTAAATTCCGGCACGCTCCTTCGTGTCTGAGCGCACAGGCAACAACAATTGAAATGGACTGAGTTGACCTCCAAACACTGTTTAATTTCCGCCATCTTTGGCTACACTTTTTATAGTAAAAGTCTCGCACCAGACATATATGGAGATCACTGTATAAATCACTTGAGCGAGACTTATCGCTGAACTTCAGACTTTCTCTTGAAACATATTTTTAAAGTTTTTTTCCCAATCATCGAGAAACTTGTCAAAAATGAAAAATTTTAACATAGTCGTAACCAAATGGTATACGCGTTAGTTTTGACGACATGTTATGTAACATACAAAAATATCTCTCCCTTAATTTAAACAAACTTGTGACCGCACTATCTATAAATATTTTTAGACGGTAGCCATTTATTGCAAGATCGATGTTATTTTGATAGTCTTATGGAAGGCGGTATATGAAATTTTAAAGAATCTAACAATGAAACAATTTCGTAAAGAAATAACATAGATAAACCTTTTTCTAAATTATTTGTAACTGTAGGCTTTCTTCGCAATTTTCGCGATATGTTTACCAAGAGTATCCTATCCGGTCGGATGAAGTTCGGCACTCGTGGGACATGCTCGGATTTGCATTTTTAAAATGTAAATAATCAGAAATTGCTCTGTAATCAATAACAGCCTTGAGATGCATTTTCGAACTGCTATCGGAAATCTACAAATGGTTACTTATTCGGCTACTCATGTTAAGCATCTAACGATCACTTCACGGGTGTTTCGATTCTTCTATTAATTTATCTATTATTAATTATGCTATTACCTCACACGCGTCCGCATTCTATTACTAATAGTACTTCATAAAGATCTGTTTTTGCTCCTCTAATTTTACACTTGTTAATTTTTTGCCCTTCTCTTCTTTTACACTTGTATTGACAGTAGTGGAGTCCCCTGTGTCCGGAACCGATTCCTTGCACGTTTTGTGTGGTGTACACAGTTGTGTATAGTTTGCACGCATAAATACGTGAATGAATTAACCGAACTAACTACCATTAATAAGCGTGGACCAGGGTGCCAGGCTGCGAAATTTCTGAATAAATCTTGAATCTTGAAAATCTTGTAAACTAATGTGAACTAATCCGAGACCACCCCACGACTCTCGATAATTATGTCCACGATAATTATGTCCCATACGGCTCTGAATCGATTTTGCATCGATCTAAATCGCTAGTGTGAAAGGCGCCATATTACATGAATTTACCAGATACAGTCTACAATTTAATTTGTTAATTTTCTCTCCCTTACAGATCGTCCGTCAGAACACCCAACGTAAATGCGACTGTCACTCTTACTTGACAGGCTGCAGGCACAAAATCTGTAGACGCGTTGTACCATCGCTTGAGAAAGTCGGAGACGAGATTTGGAAACTCTACCTGCACCCAATACGTTCACGTTGGAATAAAACTAACAGACGACTTTATAAGAAAGTGAGAATCTCGCGAAAAATAACTGCAAGTACAAAACATCTGCAAGGTAAACTCGTTTATTTTAAGAAATCTGAAAATTTCTGTGAGCCAAATGATTCCGTCGGTATTGTGGGTACGGTTGGTCGCGCATGTAATCGCACATCGAATGGTCATGATGATTGTACTACGATATGCTGTGGACGACCTTACAAGACATCTGTGTCGGTTGAAATTGTGAAATGCAATTGTCGTTTTGAATGGCCTTGCTGTAAGATAAAGTGTGATAGATGCAAGCAGACACGAGTTGTGGATACCTGTCGGTAGTGCTATATATCTGGATATTGTTTTCGTAGAAGAACAGTGGTTTAGATGACGTTATTTGTGCGTTGTTGTGTAATCCTCTCCTCTGCAGAGGATTACATGAAGTTTCTAGTTGTGTAAATTATGTGTAATTTCTTTCAAAGCCGCAACAAAATTATAAAGGTGTGTAGAATGAGGAATTAGACTTCTTCGCACGTCTAGAACATATCTGTTCTTATCATCATATCAAACATCCTAGAGAGAACTTTTACATCAATGGTCAATTTGAAGAAATCCATTTTTGGCCAAAAATGTTTTAGTTATGCCATTGGACTATCATCAATTCCTTTTACAAATTAAAATATATTGCATTAGAAGATAGCGTTACAATTTCCAGAGGCCTATACCCGATACTAGTTCATTAGCTGTGACTTTAAAGGCCATTGTGTTTGTGTGTGGCTTTAGGGATGCACCAGATATCATATCAGACCAGAGAGTAAGATCAACGTATTATTCGGCCATCCAGCTACCGCAATTTGTGAGGCCGCATACTCTATCTACATTTTGCAAGTTTCTGGAACTTGAAATTTGGAACTTGAAATCTGAACTTTTTGCTCATATCATGATGAAAGCAGATGGTGAATTTGAAAGATTGCATTGGGAGGAATCCGTGTAGCGATGTCATGATATTGCGTTAGGTATATAAACAATATTCTTGTCCTCGAGCGCGCGTACCACATTATCGTGTGGCGAAACTTGATCATGCTTGTAAAATTATAAATTGGCTTTTATGATTTACAGTATTCCATGTTAAAATGAAAAATAATCATTTCAATGATATATGGACTTATTTATTTTTGTTATGTATAGGCCATCAGCCACTCAGCAGATTTTGACGTTTCGTTTCCCCCACACAGAGACAACAACTTGACGGGTGCAAATGTTGCTTAAAAGCTTACAGTGTCGAACAACAGAATGACACCTGCAGTTTTGCCAAAAATTGGCCTTCAAATTGTGTAATTTTTACATTATATCGTCGCCATTTTTTCACGCATTTCCTCGCGCATACCACGAAGCAGTGCTTCCATTTGCAATTAAGAAAATTTGCAAGGAAATAAAATGCAAGGAAATAAAATTTACAAGGAAATGGCAATGAATTTTGTTGTCAGGAAGGGAATAAGAGGGAGATTACGTTATTTCTAATAAATCCTAAGATTACAGCATTTTCCAAGCAAACTTGATTCAGAAAATGTCGAAAATCCTATCCTGTAAAATGGAAAATCCGAAAAAATTTTGAGGGATGACCAACAGCTGGAAAATTTGTTGCGCATGCGCCAGACTTCCATTGAAACTTGAAGATTTCCGTCATTTCCCCGAACTCCCGAAGAAATAACGAAATGTTCGTGGTTGTTGTATATTTTTGAATATCTGTTTAAATAATCTTTATCATTTTTTTTTGCTTGACACTAAGTAGAATATACTCTACGTATCCTGTATATAGAATATCTCGTTTGAACAGCAATAGAATATTATAATCTTGGCAAAAACAAGAAGACATTTGACACGCTGAATCTGCTTTATCTACAGTCCTTCCTGCCAATGGTCGCGAGCTTGACAGCTAGTCTTGTCAATCGGAAAACAAGTACACATTTGAGTTCAAACAGAAAGAAGTCACGATTTTAATACAACTAACATATATTCTATACAAATACGGCTGTTTTAAAATGTTTTCAATTTGAATTTTCAAACTGCTTTTATTTATCGACATGATAGTCAAACTGTGCAAATGCCGGCTTTTGTTGACCTTTGTTGAGGCTTGCGAATGCAAAATAACTTCCCGTAAACAGAGCATTTCAACACAAAACTCTCGCTTAGTCTTCTGATGCACTTGTACGCTCGGTTCTACTAGTTAAACAAGGAAAATATTCAAGAAACTCTAGTAAATTATGGTTGTCAAAAAACATTTCAGTGCTGAGGCGGTACAAGGTCACAAGACCAAGGTCAAGTTGTCGATTTCATTACATTTTACAGTGCTTCGTAGCCTGCGAATACAGACTCTATTTATGTCGCTTATTCCACTTGGGGGGGGGGGGGGGACGTGATAAATAAGTTTCCCCCAAGTCGAATAAGCGACATAAATATAGACTGTATTCGCAGGCAAGTGCTTCGATGTTCTCGAATTCTTGCTTCATACAAGAGCAGTAAACGCACGCATTTCAAAGCGAAATTAGGCGGAAAGGAGCAATTTTTCATCAAAATTTGTTGTTAAATTCTGTTTCGTTAATTAAAACTAAATTTTCAAAACACTAAAAAAACTAGTAAGAAGATAAAAACCTTACTAATTTGATCTTCATTTTGGACAAATTTTGATTAATGTTAATAAACATGTTTATGGAAACATGACGTGCGCACTGCGCTTAATTCCGTTGAGGCATAAATCTGCCTTCCTTTGAAACGCATGCTGGAACGCCCAATTCAAGGTATTATTACGACGGAAACATTTTAATCCTTTCTCCAGGAGACAGTCTCTCTACGGGAGATTTATTGTCCGAAAAATAAAGTTGCTACAGTTAACTATTTGCAGATCAAACATTGACTAAAAATGCTTACTCAGCATTTTTCCAAAACTTTGGTCAGCAATATTTCAGTAACAATTGACCGTACGTGATTATCGTAATATAGTTTTTTTGTACACATGTGATGGTCTATCCGTCAGTCTTTTCAAAGCTTTGAATTTCAAAAATTTTCTCATCTATGGATGACGTCATACATAGATAAAAGCAATTTTCTCGAGACCTGCATGTTTGCCGAGGTACAACATTGGTGTTTTATCATTGAAATGGATCCACTCAACATATAATGAAACCAAAATATGGTCTCCGGGGACGAAACTTGCTTTCATCTTCTCATTCTCGTGAGTGGCTACGGCCTAGTAGTGGCCGGATTACTTAAAATTGTGCATTTATTATTAACTCGTAGAATAATCCTGGCCTGTGCGCAGCGCGGTGCGTGGGTAATAATTACGCTGGGCTGGCTGCATTAGGTTACAGTTCCAGGGTCGAAACCAGTTCCCTTTAATTTGGGGAGGGGGTGTCTGCTAGAATTGCTCTGCGAAAGCCGGATGATTTCCGCAGCAAAATTTTTTGGCCAATATTTCTCCCAAAAATGTTGGCGGGGAGGTCAAACAAATTTTTTCCGGACATTCAAAAAAAAGGGGCGAAAAGATTTTTCCGGACATAAACCAATTAAATTAAAGGTCAGAAATTGTTTTCGGACACATTCCTGTTTAAAACAAGCATGAAACCCAACCTCGTTCCCAGGGCTTTTCCCTTTTTGTCACTGGGAAGGCGGGAAAAGGCCCTGGCACCGGCCGGTCACATGACTTTCAACACCCAGATATAGTGGGTGTAATAAATTATAATAATAATAAATTAGAAAATCCAAGATGGCCGCCAACCTAAGAGTGTCCACAAAATTTAAGTGCTTAGAGCGGCTTAAAAATGCGTTTAGTCTTTGAAATTTTTCCTTCTTTTTGCTACCGACGTACTCGAAATCAGATTCTTCAGCTTTTATTACATGGGAACTATGTAGTTGCTGTTCTTCCAACTGGGTTTGGTAAATATCGTTCGTTCGCTAAACAAAATTAACAGCCATTGAAATATACGACAGAAGTTCTCCAGCTGGACAGGCTTGCCTAAGAGGACACGGAAAGTGTTTTGAACTGGGGATGTTAAACTTGGTTTTACCCTTCCAAAGACTCTTTTTATACAGTGATTCAAAGAAATGTTTTTGCATATACTGTATATGTTATTGATCTATTGTTGAATGTCACTTATATTATAAAGTGCCAATGGTTGGAATACTTATTCATTGATATTTTAAACACAGATGAAGTGTTATATGCTCTTTCCTTGTTTACGTTTTCCTTGCAGCCAAATGTTGAAGCTGGCAAGCTGCAAAACTGACATATGAGTGATATGACCCAAATATTGGATATGCATCTTAGTTTGCTTCCAGTAAAATGTAAACAAGACCTTAAGATATGATATTTGTGATGTTACTCTGAGTGTATATCCACACCGGGCAAGCTTGAAAAATATGCCAGGCCGCGGTGGGACTCGAACCTACGACCTTTGGAATACTAAAAGACCTTAAGAATTCTATACGAGATAAGAAATATTACGTTTAAAATCATGACTGGCAAATTAGCATGTCCGAATTGATGCTTCCTAATAATAGTATGTACTCCAGTAAAGCTTGCTTACTTCAGTTCTTGCTGTTACCATCTGCACATTATCAGGGTGGAGAGTTGATTTGAATTTTTTGTCCCAGGAGATAAAGGTAGGGAATAGATTTTCCATCACAAAAGGGGCAAGGTGCCCAACCAGTTAGAAGATGGCATGTACTTTAAGTGACCATTCATTATACCCCAGGGTGGGGTGGGAGATTCTTATGTCAAAATGTCATGGGACCCCTTTTTAATCTCTAAATTTAATAATGGAGACCCCTCCTAAATATTTAAGACTATATAACATAATGCAATTCTAATCTTCATTCATGTGAAGGCCTGACTATGAAGAAAATACATTTTGCAACACAGGGATGGATCCAGCATGATCTGGTAGGGGGGGGGTTGCTCTGCCAGCTCTGGTGCCGAGTTGTGTCGGTCATGTGTGCCGCCCGCCCATCAACTTGCTTCACTACTGCAAAGTCTTGCTTTACTACTGTATTTGATTTGTAATTGTTGTTCACAGCTCACTTATCATCATGTTATTACTCAAATTACTGTATCTCATTTTGCCTGTAATAATTTTTTGCTTTATCATGAAAAATAGCACCCCCTCTGGCCAGGGCTAGGGGAGTGCACAGCTCCCCTCCCCCCCAGTAAATCCATCCCTGTTGCAACATACACTACAAGAGCTAGAATGATTGCTTCCTTTGGATGATTTGTCTTAGAATTATATTACCTATATTACAACAATTCTTCCTATTCTGAAACCAGTTGCTATTCTGCCAAAAAAAAAAGACTCAACAAATCAAGGACCCCCTCCAAGGCAATTTTGCCAGCAAAATATATTTAATTTGATGGTAACTGTTCTGAGAATATATTACTTAACTCATTGAGTGGCAGCATTCTGCCTAGACTTGCCACAAGTCAACCTCTAACGAAACGCAAGCAGCGAGTGTGAGCCGACGTTTCATTCGAGGTCGACTTGTGGCAAGTCTACATTCTGCCCTTGAGTAAAATTGTCTGGCACCAGATGGAGTAATATACTAAAGTAGGGCACATTGCCACTATAAAGGGTTAAACAAATTAAAAAAAAATTTGCAATGGTCTATATTCAAAAAGCTCTATTTGTAAATTTTAATTGACTTTTATATACCTACTTATACTTATAGCTACCTTGCCCCAGTCACTTCAAGTGAATTCTACGGGAGGAGGGGGACATTGAAAATCCCTGGGTTTACTTGGTAAAAGCAAGAATTGAACCATGCATTACATGTATATGGAGAGCAGTTTTAAATATATTTTATCATGCAAATACCTTGATAATTGTTCTTAAATGTCTTTGGCTTAGAATGGGTACACCCTCCAAAGGTGTTTATTTACAGGGTCCAAAGGTGTAAATATACACTGTCCAAGGTGTTAATATAAACAACAAAAACAATGTATATAATTAAATTTTATTAATTAAAATGTGGAATATTTTACAAATTGCATTACCATCCCAAAGTGTACATAATTTATCAATATAATTA